CGCGGCTGCCGTTTGAGGATGTCACGCTGTCTTGCCCTTACGCTGGTTCGTGACTGGTGCGGGTGGCAGGCCTGACTGGGGGCGCTTCCCCTTAAGCAACGCTTGCATGGGTCTGTGAGCACGCGGGTCGCTTGAACTCCAAGTGGAAGTGGCAATGACGTTCGCCTCAGGCAGTGGCTCTGCGCCTTTCACCTAGCGCAGCAGCTTTCGCTAACCCACTCACGCAGAGTGGCACCTGTCTAGTTCAGGCCACTCACAAGCGCCCCAGGCTGGCTTGTAGCAACTAAGCGGTCCAAATTCTCACGGCTATCCAGTTGCCAGCGCACGGGAGCTTTGCAGTGTCCAAAGCCACAAAGCAAGAGTTAGAGTTCAGAGGCGCGCGAGCCATACCCCGAATCATACCCGCGAGCCAGACCCCGAACCATACCTGCGATTCATACCCCTTATACCAATTTCCCGGCACGGCCACGTCAAAAAAACACATACCCACATAGACATGCATAGACATACATAGACATACAGAGACATACATAGACATACATAGACATACATAAACATACATAGACATACATAGACATACATAGACATACATAGACATACATAGGCAGACATACATACATACATACATACATACATCCATCCATGCATGCATGCATGCATGCATGCATGCATCCATCCATCCATCCATCCATACATACATACATGCATACATACATACACGCCCATGATCAAACCTCCCGCTGTTTATGTTTGAATTGTTCCCCGCTTGAAACGCACGGGACGTGGGTTTGCAAGTGAACTGCTCCAACGGATTTTGTTTATGAGGCAACATGCACGCCTGTGCCCTTTTTGGGGGAATCCCCTTTGGGCAGCCAACAGGAAGCGACCAATTTCAGAGGGGGTCCCAGTTTGGCACCTTCCCCAACTGACCTGGCAAGTAAGAGACCTGGGTGTTGAGGGCCATTGTTTGGGCTTCTTTTTGAGGGGAAACCAGAGGGAAAGCGAACCACACATTCGGATATTATTATTTTTTGGATACTTAAAAAAGATAGACCCAAATCAGTGTGCCAAGAGTCTCCGTGACGCCTAGAAAAAGGGCCCATTTGACCCGAATCTTTCTTTTGGGCAATGACCAACCATTGTTTAAGGATCAGAAGGAGAGTCCAGGTGTTTCTGAAGGTCCTTCGTTTGGGTTAAAGTTTTCAATGGAGACCAGGATCGGAAGCGCCGGCTGCCTTGCGTCGTTCTAGTTTCTTCCCTGGCAGGTCTTACAACGTCTCAACGAGGTGGAGACAGGAGTGACAGGCGTCGCTATGCGAAAAACGTTCTTATCCATGTCTCTACGAAACCAGGGTCCAAAAACCAGGGTTCAAATCCAAATCAAGTTGGAGAAAAACTCATTAATTTAGTTGCTCAGCCCGGAAAGAGAAATGGAATGACCCCAAGAGAAACAATAAAACACCCATTCCATTTGGTTTCCTTTATTCGGGAATCCCGAAAAGGTTCATTGCCAATACCCGGAAGGTCATTCCCCTGTCGCACCAGCAAGTTGATTTTAGCAAGTGGCACGACTGGTTGGATTCGTGGTTTGAAGGTTTGAAGGTTTGAATCCCTGGAGTCTCCGTGACCCTTTAAAAACGTGATCATGACCCCATGATTTTGGGGAATGACCAACCCCTAGGAGCCCCCTGGACCTCCTTATTTGAGGTCGGAGAGGTGGTCTTTGGGCCCTTTAGGGTCTTGGGCTCCTGGGGAACCATTTTTAAGGGGTCAGAAGCAGACTCCAGGTGGCTTCTTTCGCTGGGTAAGTGCCCAAACCAAGCTGAGCAGTTTTAACGCCAAACCCGCAACCCCCCCAATTCGAGACCGGACCCAACAGCCTCCCTCCCTCACTTGGGGAATGTGAAGCCAAAACACAGCGGCAAGCCAGGATGCCCAAGCAGTAAAAGCCGCTTGGGCAAAGCTAGGGTTCCTCAGACTCGGAAGGCCAACACTGTTTAGATCAAACTACTGGGTTTACCGGAAAATCCTGAGGATCAACCCCTGGCCTTTTTTTCAAGGATACCTGGAGTCTCCGTGACCCCTAGAAAAAGGGGGTCATTGGACCCGAATCTTTCTTTTGGGCAGTCTGACCACTTGGAGTCTCCATGACCCTTCAAACATGACCACCATTTTTTTTAAGGGTCAGATTCGGAGCGTCTAGGTGTCCATTTTGGGCGGCCACAAGGAATCCCGGACCCAGTTTGGGGGCTCAACACATCAGGGCACGCACATACATGGGTTTTATGGGTTGGTTTCGTTTCGTTTTCCCTAAACCTACTGTGGATGGTTGCGAAATCCAGAAATCGCACCACTTAGAAACCATGAGGAACCATGGTTTGTTGGTATTTGCAGGGAATCATCATTTTAGGATTTCTTAGCTGGTGCAGGATTGTCCATCCACAATATCAACCCAGTTTTTTTTGATTTCTATGCTGCCGATCGGATATATGGGGCAAAGCTATCTTTGCCTTGACAAGCATATATACCTCATCTTACTGATTTTCAGCAGGGAATTATTTTGTAAGGGTATCACTATAGGTTCATTCCCAACACCCTGGACTGGGTCATGTCTGGGTGTGTCTCAAACCAGAGCCACCCTTCCTTCCGCTTTCTTGCGGGCTAACCCCCCACCCGACCGCTTTCCCCCCTAACATAGGTGTCCCTTTTGGTTGTTTTGGTCGAAAAATCGAGGGCGATTCCTGCTTTACCTGGTGGTTTCATCATCTACCAGGCAGGGAAACCCCTCTAATTCCCCGAACAACCAAACAAAACGCGCCGCTTTCCCCCTTTCACCTTCCCCACCCCCCCCGGCCCAAAGCCGCGCCTTTCCCCGCCCACCCGGCCCAGCGCGCGGCACGCCCACGCCGGGCGCCGCGCGCGCGGAGCAGCGCAAAGTCACCTTCCCGGACACGATGTCCGAGGGCTCCGGCGGCTCCAGCTCCGAGGAGAGCGATCTGGCCCCTGACTCGGCTGGCCCCAAAAAAAAACCGAGCCGAGCCGAGCTTTGGAGCGATGTCTTTCCATTTGCTGAAATGAATATGTTTTGATTTTCCCCCTTTTGGTTTTTTGAAGGGAATCGATTTCACTACTGGGAATCTGAAATGCATCAAATTTCAGCCGCAGGCACAGAAATTTGCCGGAATCAGCAAACACAGCCGGAATTAGAACGCTGAGGCTCAAGGAGAATAATACTCGCGTAGCCGCCGGAATGGACTTAAGTTGCCTATTCAGAAAGTTTCGCCGGAATTGTGGGAAGATTCGCCGGAATTGCGGGAAGTTTCGCCAGAATTGCGCAAAGTCGGATGACACAAGCCGCCAAAAAAGCAACGCCATCATCCTGCTTAAACTGCCAGTTGAAGAATGGCCGAAAGGCTAAAAATTGGCCGGCAATGGACAAATGATACCTTTTTTTTCGGAAAAAAAGGCTAGTATTTCGTGGCATTTCGATTTTCTAGGTATGTTATTTTTCCAGGGGTCTTAACCAAATGGAAGATTTGATGGTGACGTCGTGGAGTTTTGGCACCCCAAAATGGCCGTTTGACCCGGTTTTCCTGATGATTTCCCGCCACAGAAGCGACCTGAGCTGACCCTTTGGCTTTCCCGGTTTGGTCCATTGATCAATGTCACACAAGGAGAACCTTTGCTTCACTGTTCTTGGCATGTTTTTCGGGTTTTTGGTTTTTTGGTTCTGCATTTTTTTTTGCTGGGGGTCTGCAAAAGTCAAAGTTTTTGCTACCATACCAAGAGTAGAGATGTTTGATGTTCAGGTCCTTTTGGTAAGTCTTAAGTGAGAAATACCCCCTGCGTGTTGTGCAGGGTACGGGGAGAACGTGAATAGTTAAGACAAATTGCTGGATGCAGGGACAAATGGCAAGTGTCAACATCAAATTATTCCGGACCTTGCCAATCGAAGGTGGCCCATCGTTTGTTCTGGGGGATTTACGAGGGGCTCCTCACATGATTATTGTCCTCCAGATTGATTCTATGTTGACACTACCCTACTGTGACCCTACTCCAAGCAAACCGGTTCTTAGTTGCAATATATTTAAACGCCTGGTTGTATATGGCAAACACCTCCAGAGTCCAAAGTGTCGTTTTTGACTTAGCTGAAAGGTCGCTAAGAATTGCAATTCACATCACGGGGACTTGAGGCAATGGCTTTAACCGTGCTTGAATTATCTACCAGGGCCATCTATTTCCCCGAGAAGAAAAAACCGGAAAAGAAACAGCTGGAACCTCACCCCCCCCCAAAAAAAAAACAGAAAAAGAAAGAAAAACATACTGGAACCTCACCTAAAAGCAAGTCGGGATCTGGGCCGTAGCTCCCCACTTCAGTGGGCACGAGGATTTCCAAACCCCTAGAAATGCGAGCGACAGGGGTCCAGGATCAGGTCCCGGGCCTCAGGATCATGACGGGTGTCACACCAAGGAGATGCTCCAGAAATCGCACCAGCGAATGAACTGGGCATTCGGTTGACTGCTAGGTTGTCGAAAGTCTGGGGTTTGCCTTCCCTAGGAGGTTCTTGGACCCTAAATATGAGGGCCTTTGACCCCCAAACAGATACGGAGGTCCAAGGGGCTCCTGAGGATACAATCGTCCTTTGGATCGTGCAGAGCGAACGAATCACCGCCAGGCTTGTCATTTTCTTTTGTTAGGACCCCAACAAGTCCGTTGGATTTTTGTTGGGGTTTCGCTTGCTGAGCCCTAGCCCGACCCCAGACCTTCTCCTTTGGGCTTCAAGGTTGGCTTCCTGGAAGCCTTCCCAGGCCCCCCCCCCCAATTGGAGTGAGTGGAGCCCACATCCCGGCCGAAGCCAAACATCAGGCCTTCCCACTGAGGGCAGGGGCAAAGCATGAATAAAATCCAGGCAGGGGGGCAAAGCCATGGACAGGCCGGTGGCGCTCGCTGTGAGGTTCGTGCAGACAAGCGCCAGAGCACGGATCACCCGGTGGAGTCCATGGAGGGCTACGTCTTCGCGGAGAACGTCTGGGACGCCGTGATCTGCTTCGGGCGGCTGAGTCGAGTCGAGTCGAGTCGAGTGGAGTCGAGTTGAGTCGGATATGTGTCACCTAGGACAGGTCCAATCCCTTGTAAGAGGATGCTAAAAGGATGCTAAATGAGTTGGCCTTTGGCCCAAGTTGAAAGGCCCTCAAAGAATGAGGTCCAAGGGGGCGCCCAGGAAAGGATCGGATAGCAAGGCTTGCGGTTGATCGCGCGGGTGTATCCAACTGCGATGTCTTCGGGAATGCTCCCCCTGTAAAAAGGGAGGGCGGGGTGGTCGGTTGGTCCCCTGGAGATCAGCAAAGGAAATGTCCAACCAAGCCTTGGAGCCCTAAATATGAGTTGGCCCCTTTGGGGGTCCTTTACTTTGGGGCCTCAAATCATGAGGTCCAAGCTAGGGAAGTCACAAGTTGATCCATTTAGTGCTAGACTCCACTTCTGACCCTTAAGAAATGGTTGGCCATTTGACCCGGATCTTTCTTTTGGGCAATGACCTCATGTTTTAAGGGTCGCGGAGACTCTAGGCTGGTGTCCATTGAAACCATCGCCACCCTTTGGAGGTTCCCAATAGGGTTCCGAAACGGGATGCTACAGCTAAAGGGGTCCTGTGCAATCGGACCCTGTCTGGCCCCCCCTGAACCCAGACTAGCGCCCTTTTTTGGGGAGGGAGGAACGCCTTCAACATCAACTACCAAAAAGGGACATCATTTACCAAAAAGGGACATGCTCCTGCCTCTTGGATTTAATTCATGCTTTGCCCCTGCTTTGGCTTCGCCCGGGATGTGGGCTCCACTCACTGCAATTGGGGGGGGGGGCTTGAGCAATGTGGCGGAACTACCAAAAAGGGGGATGTCCTTATCCCCACATAAATCCACTGGAGGTGCGGTTTGGTTGCAAAATTGGTTTAAAACGCGGGCCCTTCTGTGTCGAAGGGAACCTAGTGATTATGTTTTCCCATATTTTAGGCAAGCAAAAAGGGTTGTCTATAGTGTATAGTCGTGACTGGGTCCCACTGTGGAAACCAAAGGTGGTTGCTTCAATATGTTGAACATGTTTGAAAGGATGGCCCAACCTGATTCCCCAAAGCAAATGTACGGCGTTTTGGATGGTTTGGAGGTTGGGGTTGCGTCCAAGAACCAAACACGTTCGGCACCAGGCCAACCAACCATTGTCAAACTTAAACTGGCCCGTGTTCGAGTTTCATTAATCGTTTCTTGCAACTAGCAACCCAACACTGTTTGCAGGGGGTCCAAGTCTGGTGGGCCTTGATGCAAGAGCAACAATGTCAGGAGATGGGGCTGAACTTGACTGAACCCCACGGTTTTCTCACATGGACCATGGCGGACAGCAAATACCAACACACACACACACACACACATAGAAACCACAGTGTTCTGGGTTCCGAAAGAGGCGGAGACCATGGGGAAACCCCCCAAAAAAAAGAAACCAAAAGCGGGTGTTCGGGGGGGTTGTTTTGATCGAGTGTCGTGACACCCCGCGCGATCGGAGGCCTTTTTCCTCACGGCTAGTAGGCAAGGCGGAAACTGAGGCGTAAGTCGGTTCCTTCCGGGCTCCTAAGATTCTGAAGGTCCAACAAGTAATTACCTAGACTAGACTCTCCATGACCCTCAAAACATGGGGTCATTGCCCAAAAGAAAGGGTGGAGGTTCCAGACAAATGCAGCAAGTAAATCCACCGAGCGAACATTTCTGGGTCAGCGACTCATTCTGATGCTTAGGCAATTCGCTGTCAGTGAAGTCGTGCTCGACAAGAAAAGCTGTTTGACTCTTTGCCATTTGGGGGTTGATCTTTAAAGATCCGGTAAACATGGGATGATCAGTGTTTTTTTTTGGTTTAATCAAGCCCCATTTGTGTACATCCCAAAACCAGGACTCGTGACTCATTCAAGGGCCCCCCTCAAAGACTCAAAGCCGCCATCCCCATTTGCGGGGTTTTTGGATGGGCAACTCCAAACAAGAAACCCTTTCGACCACCCCTAAGAATCTTGAAACCTCAACGTGTTGTTCTTCCCCCGAGGTCCAAACAGCTTCCATAGATTCAGATCAGCCCCTCATGGGTATGATTCCCGAGGGTCACTGGTTGCAGAACTATTTTCAGGGATTATCGTTTCCCACCTGACGATTTCAAGAGATTCCCTGCGAGGCATCCTTTTCCGAGTGCCTGAGTGCCCACATCAACATCAACACAGAAACACACATCCCCAGGAGCCCCAACAAATGTTCAAGGGCTTTTTGGATGCCCCAAATACAGAGCAGCATCATTTTAGGGTATGCCTTTAGCACCAATTTCCTTTTTGAGGCCACAAAGCCGCCCTCGCATTTACCTAATTAGACTCTCCATGACCCTTAAAAAATTGTCTCATTGCCCAAAATTAAGGGGTCATGACCCCTTTTTCTAGGGCTCAGTCCCTACGGAGCTCCTAGCACCGGAAGCGA